GCGCTGATGGTGGCCGTTGAGAACCGCTGGGTGCAATCTTGTAGCAACTGGGGTTTGCGGGGTCTTGGGAGACGCGACTCCGTTTCGTAACCTCCTCTCCCGGGGTCCTGGCTACAACGAGGGTGGAGTGAGGAATAGGGAAACAGGCGGCATGGGTTGGTTGAGGTGAAACACCGTGGGGTGGGTAGTAAGGAGACTACTTGGCGAACGGTGGGAGGGTTGAAAGGAGTGAGAGAGATTGAAGGGGGAGAGTGGGCACGAAGAAAGTGTGGGTGAATAGGAGGAGGATGAGTGAGTCGGCGGCTTGGGATATATCCGTAAGCTCGGCGCAGGAGGGGGGAGGGTTGGTTCGATGGTGTGGGTAGCGGTAGTTGGGTTGAGACGAGGCGTCGTGGCGAAGGAGTCGCTCACTCACTTACCACCCTCATGGCTCCGACCACCAACCCCAATACCACGCACACCAGCGACCTCCTCTTTCCCTTCCTCTCGTCACATCGTCCTCTCGACAACCGCCATCACCATCTCTGTCTGCATCACGCATGGTGCCTGCCTGCTGCTTCTGCCGCTGGTGCTGCTGCTGCTACTACCTCTGCTTGCTAAGTTGCCTGCCTGCCTGCCTGTCGACAGACCAAGTCGTCCCTAACACTACAAAGTCTATATATCCACGGTGTACCCAACGGCGTGCCCACCACCCCCGCATTTCCACCTCTCTCACTCCTTTTCAGGCCACCCCTTTGAGAGGGTACCCCCATATTGATCGTGCCGCGAACCCTCTTCGCAGAGGAAAGGCTGTGCTCTCGCACGATCCCCGACCAGCTAGGTGTAAGTAAACTTACGCGAACGAAGGTCGGCCTGGCTCCTACCCCCTGTTACCCGGCGTGTACGTGTCCTGGTTCGGTGGGTCGGGCTGTAGCACGTATACACGTGGGATAGGCGAGCTAAGAAATTGGGCGAAGGGCCAGGCACGGCGCATCGTGACGGAACATCGAGTGCTTTCGGCGGTTCAATGGGGAGGAAGGTAAACGATGCACCGGGGGTAGATAAGATTTCTGAATACAACGTTGGAATCGACCGTATTGTCCGATGAAGAAAAGTTTGAGGCTGTGTCTGGCTGCCTAGGATTCGGGAGGCGAACGTCTTGCGGTGGAAATGAAAATGTTTGAGTGCTTAAATGGCGATGTAATTAATTGTCTCGCTAGGAGTTGATGGAAAGGAGCGTGAAGTTAGTATTTTCATTATGTAAAACTCCACAAAAAGTAAACCGTAATAATTGATAACAAAATTCGTATTTTATTCTGAAGTTAAGTCGGCTCCAGATGGATTGCATTTCCCGTAAGCGGATATGAAAACATAAACTTACATAAACATCCATAATTCAAGACGATGCTAATCGCAACGCGACGGGAACAAATTTGCATCCGTTAAGGAGTCCCTTTGCATCCCGGTCATCGGTTTAAAATATAGTTTCATCCCGCCGCCGTAAAAAGGTCGGGGAACGTCCCATAAAAATGATCGTTGGCAAACTGTCGTATTTCGGTAGCAGAAATTCCTGACATGATTCTCCGGGTACTTGTGCTGGGCCGGACCAGCATAAAAATTCTATGACACGTCGAAACTTTGGCAACACCGATTCATACGGCTTCGCTCCCTCCACCCTTGATCCGTAACCGACGAACTGCTCCGATTCCACGAAACTTATCTTGCGCTAACCATCTCCGTGCCGACATAAATCCAAGATCTTTGAGATTCCCCGCATTTTTATGATAATGCTACGCCGCCGCTCCGTATTCCTCCCAGTTGAACGCAGCCGCCCGCCATCTTCTTCTCCCAGCCTCTGCACCGTAGGGCGGCGGTGATCGTTCTCGGAAGTATCCAGTCGAACTCGTTTCCCCTCCGTCCCGTCATGTTTTCTTTTACCGTCGATTTATACTGGAAGTAGGCAGCGGTGTCCCGAAGCGCGCCCGTTCGCCTTATCGTCGAGCTTTCCTTTCCAAGAACGCGACAATCGTAACCAGAGCCTGACTCCCAGTGGCTCTCGGCTGGATAAATAATTGGTTAACCATTACAGGATAACGAGATCGAGAGAAAGAGAAACAGCGTGACGAAGAGGAGGGGGAAGGATCGGTTCGCGCCGCGAGAGAAAACAGATCGTTCGGATCGCGCGCGCAGTTGCTTCTCGTTCGAGAAAAGTCGAACGCGGCACGTACCGCAACTCTGCTGGGGATTCCTTCCTTTGAGCAGAGCCGTTCGACTCTCGTCCCCTGCCTGTTTTCTTGCCTCTTTCCGCCGGAATTCCTGCCTCTCCCCTTTTTTATCGACTGAACCCGACCCGTCTCGTGCCGTGACGACCCCTGAATTTCTGTACATCATCGGATTGCTTTTTGTCGCATGCTTCCGCGAACCACCCACCGACAACGTCCGAAAGGCTTTTATGCGATAGGTGTCACGGAGGATCGGTTTTCACGACTTTTCGACGCAACAGATGGGACTCCGTTGTACCGTACAGTGGTTCTCGGTGTGTCGAAAATAACTGAACTGGAAATGTACCTGCGGAGTCTTTGTCATCCCTTTCGTGTTCTCTCATTCACGTTTAGCAATTTGCTGTTTTTTGATGCACCTGCCGCGTAAATAGCAAATGTTTTCAATGAAAATATTATTAATATCCTCAAGCACACATATAATTATAAATTAAAAAGAGAACTCGACGACTTGATGAGATAATGAAAAGAAATGTTTAATATAGAAACTGGTCAATTTATCTTCCCTAACTTCTAGTCGACGACGTTGAATACGTCAAAAGTTGTTTTCACGTCTGTTTCACCCTGTTAAAGATTAAAACACCCCCTGCGTTGCAAAACGCCCTATTTATAATTCACTCCATTATCGTAGCAATTCAAGTCCATTGAGACATTCACGCGAATCACCCACCGGCTCAACCTGTCGTGTCGTTATTCTCTTAAGTGAATGGGTCGCCACCGCGACGACTTTCTAAATCACGAGTTACCCTATTTCATTTCCTTTCACGAGACGGGCCTTGCAGACGCGCGCAAGAGCCCGACGCAACGCAACGCGACACGACGAGGGATGATACTGTCGGCGTCGGGGTAATGGACCGAGCCAGAGGTGCTAGTGGATAAGAGACGAAGGGTAATTGAGAAGAGGAGATTTACTTCGGGGGTCGAGAGAGGCTGCGAGTGGGTAGTTTACGATGTTGCTCCGGATAGGGCGCAGTTATCGGGGACAGGGAAAAGGCTCGCGCGCTTATGTGGTTGAAGAGGAGAAGAAACACCGCTCTCCTCGTGTCCCCGACAAAACTGTCGCTCGTAAAACTTCCTGTCGATGATATCTTCTCCGACCTCTACTCCCTATCTCGAAGGTATTGGCAGCGCAGTTTTCGGCTGTGGAGAGCGTTCCTCGGCCGCTTTACCGACGCACGCGATTATCGCCATCGTTCCGTGAAAAGGAAACTTTAAGGGGGTCGAAGATTAATAGGACCGGTAGGTCGCGACGGTGATATAAGAGAAATTTATCTGGATCGTTTTCCTGACTACCGTTGATAAGCCAAGAAGTAACCGTGACAAAAAGGACTAGCATCAGACCCTAGTTCACGTAACCACGTGCCCTATGATTTCATGTTTGTTTGATCGAATTATTCTTATCAATTGTTACATTTGAATAATTTTGAAAAAAATAGACTGAGCGCTGTAATGCTTCACGATGGGAGTTTATTAATGTTCGTAGAATTCTATTTGTTCGTCGTAACATCAAGGTTCAGTAATCTCGAAGCCTGCAATTTACAAATTAAAACGGGAGATTCAGTGGGTTGAATTTTTCTGTAATGCTGAGGACGTAAGTTTGCGTGAAACGCTTTCGAAATATATCGATCAATGTAGCAGAAACTCGTTACCCGGAGCGAACTTTTAATTGAAAGTTCCGATATTTCATCACCATTAAAGCTGGGGTGAAAATGTTGGTGCTTACGAGATAAATAAAAATTGTTTTCCCTGATTTTTGCGTCTGGCGTTCTTTAACTGAGTTAATTTTTCCCCCCTTTTATTTACTCCCACGTTTTCTCGCTTCGGAGGAAGCGTCGATCGAGGAATTGGACGGGCGAATACGTAATTTAATTGCTTCCGGGAACGTTGTCAGGCAAATATTTTATTTAATCGGGGGAGGGATGGAGTTGGAACATTCTGACTTCTATCGGTCAATGTTTTCGTTCACCTCCGCGATATCGTCGCGCGCCTTTAAAACTGCCTTTCGTTGCAATCTTCGAAGAGATCAACGGGTTCCTATTAAATAAGACGAAAGCGGGCTATATACTTAGGCCAACGTGCATAAGATTTCTCGCGATAAACCTTAACACTTATTTTACTACTCTCACCTGCGAGCAAACTTTTGCCAATGTGCTTCTGATTGAACATATTCGTATCCGACAACAATTACCCTTATCTGACAGTGTTTACTCCTTTGGATAAGAGATCAGTAGCGTTGTGTCGGTTATCGAACAAATCGTCGACCGTCGATATATTTCTATTCCGTACTTGAGATTAGGGGATAAAGTGATACTTATAATTGATTTTTTTTTTGAAATGTTGTATTACACCAAGGTTAACAAAACATTGAACGTGAATAATATGGGGATTTGCCGTTTGAATAATTTGAGATACAGGAATAGATTTCGTCTTCAAATTGTTCTTAAACTACAAATCTTTATACCATTATTTTATACCATCATTACAATTATGCTCTATACAGTACATTTTTTAAATAGTTTCAATGAACATAAAAAACCTGCACATCATTTTATTTACGTTTTCTGAAAAAATACTGAAATTTAACTACTCATCTTCTTATTAAATCAGTTTTATTATAAATACCATGGTACTAATGTGTCGAAAAAGAATTTGAATTAAAAAAGTGAAAAACTTCGGGGTTAACAAAGTAAAATTAAAAATCAAAGATATGGTTCTAACTTCCGTTTACTTGATCTGTTGCAGAGAAATTCGATATCGCCAGCGGAGCGCGAAAAGTACAGCAGACCCCGAAGCACTCCGGATCCACAGCACCACGATCACCTGCCCCTGAAGAAGATGAAAAAGGAGCAGGACAAGGACATAGGCCATGTAGGTATCCAGGATGGTTCTCCATGTTGCACCAGCTATGGTATACCTTAATAAAGTCATGCACGTTTTCCCCGACAGCAAAGCGATGGTGAAAAGAGCGACCAGGACTTGGTGGTAGACGACGCGAGCGAAGGGCCCGCGAGTCCCGCGGCGAACGGCACATCATCGCCGAGGGAGAACGGCCTAGACAAGCTCGGTCCGTCCTCGGTACCTTTGAGCAGCCAGGTGAAGAAAGAAGTGCCGCCGCCGTCGCCGCGCAGCGGAACCAGCAGCAACGCCAGCACGCCTTCGGCGAAGAAGATGGAGGAACGGGAGAAGCCCACTACTCCGATCTCGAAACCTGTCACACCTACATCAGCGGGTACGTCCTTCTTCTTTGGCGAAACGGTGATCGGTCGTTGGAGATCGTTAACACCGCAACGGCAGGACTTTTTTTTTGTTCGAGGAATGTAACAATGTTGAGAAGCGTATTAAAGATGAATGATAGGGATCAAGGACTTCCTCAAAGACTGCGAGGACTATGATTTATGCCAAGAGAATGTTAGGGGTAGATGAGTTGCGGTTTAAAAGGTTAATTAACGAAAACGTGATAGAACCGGAATTTCCTTTCGTTAAGAGTTTGAGCGTGAGTCATAAATGTGAATTGAAGTTTCTGTTTACAAGAAGAAACTTACGAATGAAATAGTTTCTTTACACTGAAAGAATTTTAGTCCGTGAGCGCACAGTGAACACCTAAATTTTGTATAATGATTAAATTTTATCGAGGTAATCGGGTAGTCGGGTAGTTAGGGTTATAGGTATTGTGTGATAGGATTACAAGAATTAAAAAAATGAAAAATACCGAGTCTGATGATGAATGTATGGTCGACAGGTGGTAGCAGCTCCGGCTCTGGCGGTCTGAAGCCATCGAGTTCCAGCAAACCGCTGGTCTCGGCTTCGGCGGTCGGCCCTTATCCGCCACACTATCTGCCGCCACATCATCCACCCGCAGGACCTCATGCGGATATGTTGGGTTATCCTCAGGCAGCACTAAATGGATATCCCACAAGACCGCCTCTTCAGCAACTCTACGATCCTCACGGAAGCATGAGGGCACCTCTCGGACCCTTCAGTGTACCCGGTGGAAAACCGTAAGTGTCCCCCCATCTTACTTCACCGATTAACTTCATGAACACATTTCAATACTTCCGAATTTCAAGCATTTATTTTCATACGTTTAGTATTAGTCTTATATAGGGTAATTTTAAATTGGTATTTTAGTAGGTTTAATTATTTAGAATTGTACTTTCTTTATAAAGAGACAGGAAGATTTTTATGAACAATCGAACACAGCTACCTTTTAAAAACTACAGAACGGTATTTTTACAATTACATTCATTGTCTGTGCACAGTTTTGTAGCTGGAGCAAAGATAAATCTTATAGATAATCTGCAACATCAAAATCTTGAAATAGTATTTGAAAATTTCTTTTAATAATATGAAAGAGTCGTATAAGTTGCAGTGAATTACTGTTGTGTAACACAAATGAGATATTATTTAAAAAGCTTATAATCCAGAAGAAACTAATAAAGTTTATCATTTTTGTATTACCTTTGTTTTTTGAAAACAAGACATTGAAATTGTCTGAAAGGATTATTTAAAGTAAGGATTGAATTCCTTTGTTTCAACAGTGCATACAGCTTTCACGTATCCAGCGAGGGCCAGATGCAGCCGGTCCCGTTTCCACCTGATGCTCTAATTGGACAAGGAATACCGCGTCACGCGCGCCAGATAAATACCCTGACACACGGCGAGGTAGTGTGCGCCGTAACGATCTCAAATCCGACTAAATACGTTTACACCGGTGGCAAAGGATGCGTCAAGGTCTGGGACATCAATCAGGGCGGCGGTGGTAGCGCGAAACACGTTTCGCAGCTTGATTGCTTGCAGCGGGACAACTACATCAGGTTGGTTAAACGTTCACGGCACATGACACATTAACTTTCCACTCCGCGGAGCAAACGTGATCCAGGCCTGAATAAATTCTGATTAGCGTGCACCTGTGGTACTATTAAGGTCGCGTTCCATGATACGTGTGACTGTCCGGTTAATCGCGGATATTCTGGAAAACATTTCGATTTGTAATTAAGGCACTAATTAGACCATTTGCACCATTCATTCACGCACAATGAATTTTATTAAGATACATATGGCAATCCTTCAACCGTAACCCATGAATTGATCCTTATAAAAACCTTGACACATATCACTTCAGCACATCCTTAATTGGTTACGTTCAATCAATGTTGTGTGTGTCATTAACTTACTTACATTAAATTACTAGGCTCCTTTCATCAAAGATACTATCAAATAATATCTCAATCTATTATTGAAAATAGATCAACTAATTATAGCGATTTATATTCAGAGACCTATCATTCAAGGAAGAAAAGTTATATTATTGTTTAATATTACTTTAAGTATTATTTAGAAATTAACATAATATTTTTTTAATTAAATAGATCAGTAAAGCTGCTACCAGATGGCAGGACCCTTATAGTGGGAGGCGAAGCGAGTAACCTCAGCATCTGGGACTTGGCGAGTCCAACGCCAAGGATCAAGGCAGAACTGACGTCGAACGCTCCGGCCTGTTACGCGCTGGCCATTTCACCGGACTCGAAAGTATGCTTCAGTTGCTGCAGCGATGGCAACATCGCGGTTTGGGATCTTCAGAACCAATCGCTGGTCAGGCAGTTCCAAGGTCACACGGATGGTGCATCTTGCATCGACATTTCCGCGGATGGTTCGAAACTGTGGACTGGCGGTTTAGACAACACGGTGCGCTCGTGGGATCTACGAGAAGGCAGACAGCTCCAACAACACGACTTCACCTCGCAGATATTCTCTCTCGGTTACTGTCCTACCGGCGAGTGGTTAGCGGTCGGAATGGAGAACTCGAACGTCGAGGTGCTTCACGCTACCAAACCAGACAAATATCAACTTCATTTACACGAGTCTTGTGTGCTTTCGTTACGTTTCGCTACCTGTGGAAAGTGGTTCGTTTCCACCGGCAAGGACAATTTACTGAACGCGTGGCGTACACCTTATGGTGCCTCAATATTCCAGGTGAGCATCTTTTCTTAATTTTTTATTTAGCTTCGATCGGTCGTTAAAAAAGAAGTAAATAATGTTAATATAATGTTTAAATTAATTTTTATACTTAATTCGATGTAGTACTTGAAAGTACTTTTTATGTTTAGAGATTTATTAAATATTTCAAGTTAAATGTTTCCTACAACTAATAACGTTTAAATATAAATAATTTAATACTCCTTGAAAAAGATAACTTTGAGAAAATATTTTGTCTTTAAATATTATGTGTATGATCTTATCCTGAATGCTCAAAATGGCGTTCATGAGACACTGATAGCTTCATTTAAAAGCACAAACAAAGCAGATAATCTTCCAACCCCAATCAAACAATTATATTCTGTTACAGTCGAAGGAATCGTCATCGGTACTCAGTTGCGATATTTCTACCGATGACAAGTATATTGTGACCGGATCGGGAGACAAGAAGGCCACCGTTTACGAAGTGATATACTGAATTACCATCACGATTGCATTACCGAATGGAAAACTACGCTTTCATAGTACTCGGATATCAAAGAGAAAGAAAAGCTAGGAACGTGTGCTTCAGGTTTCTAGGAAAAAGAATGAAATTTGTTTGGACAAAAGCACGTACTGAAGCTGTCAGTCCAGGAAGCATAAGAAGCTAAGCGCTACCATGAATATGGACTATCTTTTTTTGTGAAACGAGTAACGATGCATCGCAATGTGTTATATTTGTTATATTTGGATGAATCGCGGCGGCCGCCGTGGATAGACATGATAAGTGCCGCCAGGGACTAAAAGTTACATTATATAGATAAATATATAAATATATATAAACATAAAGGTGGCAGAACGTTTTAGCTATATAAGGTTGTATAGAGCGTATAGTTATAAATAGAGAAACGATGTCGAGCGAGACTGTGCGTAATAATGATGTTCGCCCCAGAATGAGAGGTCACGTGAGGGTCGGGACTCCGCCGACTTCGGTCAGAAGAAGTCGCCTGTGTAATATGTTACTAATGTAATATAGCGTTTTACGGTTAAGTAAATCATACGCGTGACTGTGGGAGATTGCGAGATGGTGGACACACGGTATTTTGGCTGCTCATGCCGCGTGTGATGTCCTCGTGCTTTATTAACGGTTACGAACGAACGAAGAATGGGTGGGGGGTGATGTGTATGGATGACCGATCTAGCGTGTAAACCCGTAGGAATGTGTGTTGTGTTAATGAAATCCACGTAATAATATCGAACACATGCGTAGAGGAGAGAGAAAAAGAAAGAAAGAGAAGCATCTAGGATGGACATAGCGGATATAGGGCTATGAACTGATGTGTAATTTTCCGATCTTGATGGAAATATTCTCGATATTTCCGTGGCGAGGAAGTAACGTCATCATTTGTACTCGTACGTATAGCCTGAGTTCTAGAGACTTTGTTGGTTCTTTCGTTACTATATCTCTGTGTCACCGCCGCCGAATAGCAACTATGTTCGGTAACTATGGAAATTTTGTGAAGGGCACGGAAGGATAAACAGAAAGCGATGCATAGGATCTCTCGACATTTTCCAGAGCAAACACGCACGATAGACGGAGGCGACCTCATTTAGTCGTGTTAGAATCTATGAAAGAATCCCCCGCGAGGTACAAGGTTTCCGATGCGTCGCATTTTACTCATGACTCTTGAGTAAAGATCGAATAAAGTCTATTTAACTTTCTGACCGTACACATATTTTTTAAGAACGGTACTCTATTTACCACAAAACGATCCATCAACCGTTTACGAACGTATCTTCGTAGTATGTATTTTATTGAAGACACTATATCGGTTTTTTTTTTTATCGGAGGACAACGTAACAACGTAACATCGTATCGTTGTACCGTCGTGAGGGGATGATGTGTTTGCGTGTAACGGAACCCAGTTTTACTCGATGGAAATACATGAACACACACGAGGACGCGCACAGCCACATATGATTTAATCGTCATTCCAGGCGTCAGGCGCGTTTACATGACGAAAAACACACGGGCTACGCTCATAAACGACACGTTTTTTGCAAGATATTATACGAAATATTTTTGTGATTGTCCACGACGGCCCTAGGTTTAACCGGGCAACCCGGGACGTATCGCGAATGGAATAAGTCCAGTCACTTCAATGGAATACCCGTAGACTATCATATGGTGAGATTTTCAGCCTTGAATGTCAACATAGACTATTTTCGGGCTTCGACACTCAGTTCTAGGCACCCAGACCAATGCAGCTCATATTGCTGAATACGAATATCTGACTTGGGTCCAGCGAGGGTGTCGATTAGTTGATCATATTCTTTAAACGAATTTCAAGAATGTTCATATTCAATTTGTTTCACTCGCGGTACGTTCACATTGAATTGAATTTATCGTATCAACAGGAAGAAATTGACGATTGCATTTAAGTACATTGGCGATTTTTCTTCATGCCAACGTAACGACGTGTGAAGTTAGGGTACTAGGTAGCGCGTCATTATTCGGATCTGAAATACGGTGAAAGCAGGGGATGCATAATGGAGATTTATATTTTGTTACAGGATAACACACGTTTTACATTCGCTGTGATCGTCGTAGAATCGACGCTGTAATACTGCCCGCGTGCGAGGATTATCGTTAAGTAAACGCGAATTTTTCACACGGAAAGAATGTGGAGCGATGGGTACACGAGAAAATTTGAGAACAAGTGCGGATAGATTTTCGGCGAGCACAGCTCCGAACGATAGACCAATAGAAACAACGATACCTCAAGAAGACTCAATAGTTAATTATCACTTACGGATTAACTTGTACAGAATCGATATTCTTTTACAGTGAATAATACGCATACCTGCGCAGATGCATTAGGACACACGCACATTCACGTACACACAAATCCACAGAAAACACAGACACTAAAGTACAGACGCACTAGGAAGAACAACGGCTAAAACGAAATGGAAGCAACAGCGAGGTCGCAACTCGACACCTTGAAATAATTAATAATTGTGTCCCGCGTTCACTGAATCGTGTCTCCGTGCTCACAGTTTGCACTCCGTGTGTACGAAAGTAAAGAGAATGCGTTTCTAGCAGAGGAAAAAAAAGACAAGTGTTAATCCTTTCCAAGCACAGTTCATGTTGTTCCTATAGCTACGCGAAAATTGTTTCTTTCAACAATTAAATCATCTATATCTATATACATTGGATGTTTTATTAATCCTCACTCAGCCTCATATCCTTCCGGAAAACATTTAATTTGATGCATTGACTCTGAGAACATTGATTCTGATGCAATTCACTTTGAGAACATGAGTGAAAAATTATTTTAAACCACAAGGGAATTTCTGTTCTCAGTATTCATTGTTTTGATCACTCAAATAAGTAAATTTAGTTGTAGCTAGGTCGAAATAACCCTGTATTTATTAGAAGGGGATTGATAGTAAATGTTCAGAGAATTAATATATTTTTCAGAAAAATTAATTTCCAACAAATGGACTGAAAAATAAATAGAATAGATAATGTATTTCAAATGTAGATGTTTGATCTAGAGTTGTAGGAAATTTTTAATTAATTGTTGAGTAATAAGTAATTAGTAAGTAGGTACTTCAATGATTTTCTAATTTCTTATTTGTTCATAGTTTCTACTTTGGTTATCAATATGAATGCATAGACAAGAGGTTACTATAATTTATTAATTTATTGGGTTGTATAATAATTAATCCTAGTTTAAGCAATATTGTCATTTTTGTATGTTCATGTTTTAAGAATAAATTACGTGTATAGAAAAACTGATATTAATTTAATCGTAAGACATAGGATTTTGACATGATCCAATGAGGTATAGTCCTGCAGACAGTATCGCCATCACGTAGATAATTACCCGAACCGATAACTACACTAACCTACTCGAATTTAACGGAACGCATCAGTATGGCCTCCGGTAACTCAGTCGTGCGACGGTTCGTTAATTATTTAAGTAATTTTTTGGTGCATATAAGTGTATATTGACATAAACATTTCGCCGAAATGAACATGTCAGTGGAGAAGAAAAAATACCCATCTGCGTTGCCAACAAACTGGCCGACGAGAGATGAAACTACCAGAAAGAATCAAAATCAATTGTCAACTACGGGAAAGGTTGACGTTTATTATTACAGGTGAGTCTCGCACACAACAATTTTTTATTCAAACATCAATGACTCAAACTGTTTGTATATTATACATAAGAATGGCTGCAAGTCTACAAAATCTGTAAAATTGATCGAAATCGATGAATAATTGTTTGAATACATTAATTCTAACCTCAATCATACATGTTTATGGACACCGTATTTTTTTTCCAGTCGTGGAGTCAGAAACGACGCGTCGTTGGTACCACCGATAAGGCAGACAGCGTCCATTTTTAAACAACCAGTTACAATTTATAAGACTCAGGAAGGAAAAGTAAAAGATATCAAGCATGGGAATCAAGAAAAACCAAAACAGGTTGGTAATTATTACCTAATATTTGTATCTGTTATACATATTGAATTATTGGAAACTTTCAAAATAAATCTTCTTAATGTTTCCTAACATTGCTATTTTTTTATTTATAAATATTTCTAAACAATATATTACAACTTCCTCGTATTTTATAATAAGTTATTTGTAAACTACATTATGTCTTTTGATAATTGTGATGTTTTCCTCCCATGCATACAAATAATATCCCAACAGTTAATCATTTGTCACAAATGTAGAATAATTAGGATCTCATTAATTTATTATGGCATTTAAGTGTATTCCTTGTAAATTCTCATGGTACAATCATCCAATCATTCGTTTAGGAAGGAGCCGATAAAGCTGAAGGCAAATACGGCTCCCAAGATAAGCCTAAACAGGTAACATTGTTCGATGTGCTTATGGAATCATTATTAATTATGTGTTTGTTTCTTTCTGTCTACAAATCAAAAATATTTTGAATAAGATATCATTGATCATCATTGTAATTATCTTTAATTATCTTAGACACAGTTGTGTAGTGCATGTTTTATTAGGAAAGTCCAAAAGATGTAAATGTCTTACAGAGTTAAAGGCTGTAACAAACATAATTCTTTAGTGCAATGTGTATCAATTGTTACATTATATTCTCTCTTGCCATCTATTTTTCATTATTATAAGTGTAACACTTAATGCAGTTATATAATTCACAATACCTAACTATACGTTCTAATTTTTGCTTGTGACATGAAGCGAATATATCTTGCTTTTGCAATTAGATCATCGTTATGTGTGTTAAGCATCAATATTTCTCATAAACTACTATTATTGTTCCAGAAACAAACACTATTGTTATTATACACATTTAATACTTCCAATCTTACAGTTATTTTGGGAAAAACGTTTGGAAGGTTTAAGGGCATGCGATCCAGATGGTTTTGAATTTGACGCAATGGATTTACCAAAAAGTTTAAAACCAGTCGGTCCATATATCACAGAGGAAACTCTTCTTCAGAGTGTTGCGACAGCTCTGCATGTTTCGTCTCAGCCAGTCACTGGACAGACGGGTTCAAAAACAGCTTTAGAGAAGAATCCCGGGGTATTTCTTAATCCCGATCAACCCCTCGTACAGGTAGAATAGATATTTAGATATTGGATAGGGTGCTACTTAACGTAGAATCTTTAAACTCTCTAAGAACACATATCATGTTTAAAGTACACTTGAACGTTAGTTTCACACCCTATATAATACAAATGATTATGTACCGGAGGTTCGAAAGGGTATACAGATAACGTGACACAAACAACTTTAACGATACGATACACGGGACGACTACCACTTACAAGGTACAAAAATTAATTTTTCTTTTAGGCTGTTTCGATAGCAGACGATGACATCAAAAGGCAGGAGGACCGAGTAGCTCTAGCAAGAAAAAAATTGCAAGACGCGTTACGGGCGATACCGACATGAATTGTACAAGTCTTTTTAGTTATATTTCCATTCGCTCATCCCTAGTCTTAAGTTCGTCATAAATTATGTCATACCGGTTTTTATAATAAATGTTTTGTAAAGAAACGAACATGACCACTGCATGTACAATGCTATGATACTTACAATGTAAGTTCAAGGAAGAATCATAAATTGTTTTAAATTATCCCCATACAAACGTATCTACTCTTGTTTTACTCGATCAATATGCTTCTACAATACCTTCGCACAGAAAATAACCGGATTCGCGAGATTCTTCGCTCTTTCCAGGAAATAATTTTGATGCGATAATGTTGGCTGATTAGTTTAAACGAGGGAATGGTTCGGTGTCGATTAGCTGCAGCCGCAGTAAAATCCAATTTCGCTTTCCATTACGAGCTGTTGATAATTCTGACGGGCGTGCACCGTGGTTATCCACCATCTGTCCAGATATTCGGTGTGCTCAGAAAATTGAGCCAGGTCCCGGCGGTCACGAGAGTTCGGGAATTCCACGGATCATGGTTCAACGAGGTTGGGAAAGAAAAGGGGCCGCATCTGGCTTCGCACGGACCGGAAACGAGGCCGCACGAAATGATCCCTGAAACGCTCAGTTCCGCGCGAGGAAAAATAATAACACGCGTGTAACCGCGCCATATGTGGCTGCATTATATTAATTGCGACCAACGCCTGGACATTTTCCTGCTATTTCAGAACCATAAAAATAATGAGGATATGTTTCCAATCATAATGGCTATTTCTACTATAACATATACTTTCGATCATCGTTTAAGACAAAATGTATTTTTTAATACAATACAGGAGGATTCAAATTTAATGTCAATTATATCGATTCGTTAAAAATGAAAGAGTAATTTCGATTCCACAGATTATTCTTAATATAATCCAAAGATTACGCTTGAATTATCAGAGGGTGAAAAATATTCATCCTGTTTACGTCGAATAAACGTCCAAACAATTAGTAAAAAAACAAGACAATATCCGTGACCGACGTATGAATTAAGAAGATGAATAACCCGCAACCACTGCTGACGCAAACTGATGATTGTCCAGACGGTTTAGGAACGCCTTGTATCACGTCAATCTCCTTGGAAGTCTCCTCCGATCGCGTTTCCACCTTAATTACTAAGGATCAAAATTCGTCTGGAGCGGAAACTATTTCTCAACTACTAAGGCTTAATGTTCCTGAAAGAGGAGGCGACGGGTGTTCTAAATCATCGGGTTCGGGTTTAGCCGAAAGTGGTCGGTCGAGTCGGCGCGGGTCAACGGAACTGCAACCTTACGCGGCGAACCCGCAGGACACGAAAGTCACTGGCAGAAACCAGCGCATCGGAAGAAACGAGAACTCATCTCGAGGACTGGTTAGATCGTAGTATACTAACCAACGATTCATGTCGGGTAGTACATTCCCGAAACATCTTTCTCAGCGAGACGATAGTAGTTTCGAGCCGTGCAGTTTTGCACGAGCGCTTCGATCGTTGTCGTCTGGGAATGGGTGTGTGCCCCAGGCCCCGCACAAAAGAATGCCCGGGCAGGTATACGGACGTCGGTTTTCAGGTAAGCACAAG